GGAAACCTCCATCTGAAAGCTGCACGGGTTTTAGCTCCGTTTGCAAGACTATTCCATAAAAGCACATCCTGTTACCCATAATGCATCATGCACACTCAGGCAGAAAATTACTGAGACTTTCTCAGCAAGCAGGGCAGGTGTGATTCCCTCTGTAGGTAAAGCTGGTCATCAAGGGTCAGTTGAGGGGCTTGTATGTTCTGATAAAATTTTCCTCGCTTAGCCGAGCCGTGTCATGTAAGGCCACTGGGAAGATTTACTGCCTTTAACGTTTTATTCCACAAATGACATATATTCTTCCCTACAGAAGCAAAAGCTATTTTTCAGCCTTTCTGCATAATTATTTATAAATGTATAAGGGGTTGTATTATATGATATAGTTAGCTGACACTCCTGAACGCATGGATAGAGGAGACTCCAATTAATTGGCTCCCAAACTCAGAGAGCCCTGTGTCAGTGGTTTGGGAGTGAGGGTCAGGTGGGAGTCGTTTAAGGAAATAGGAAATCTTAGTGTAATTTGAAAGCTGACATGAGGTGATATAATATAATTCAGGCACAGTAATATACTTAAAGCCAGCAGGGCATAAATAAAGAAGTAAGATTAGGCGGTTGGGAAGCTTGTAAGTGCAGGGAGCAGGCCTGGTGCTTACGCACATGGGAACTCCGTCACTTCATATCCGCAAAGCCCGAGTCCCGCAACTGTAGCCAAAGAGAGCTACTTAACATAAACGGCTTCAGTAAAACTCCCAGCTGTGTAAAAATGGCTTTGACAAGTAGTGAAAGCCCTTGATGAAACGGGATAAGCTCAGCTGATAAGCACAAGAGAAGGCTGAGAGAGCCAGATTCCAGGCCTATGCTTAATGCACATGCAGAACTAGCTAAACGCTACTTAGGCGCCGTTTGCTGGTACGACACACGCATCATTTCCTTCTTAATGTTTTTATTTTCCGCTTTGTCGCATCTCTCACTAAAGGTAAAATGAACAAGTCACACGTGCCCGAAACGTGGGGGACACGGGCGTCCTTTCATGACACGTCGCTCTTTGTTGTGAGGCCCTTTATCCGCCTCCCCGCGCATTAACAACACGCCGTGCTGATTTGAAATTAGTTTATTTAACGATGCTTGCTGATTGCTTGCTGATACCCTCACGCTTGACAAATGGAGCCTGTGTGATGCTCATTTGCTTTTGCTGATGTGATGTTAATTGCATAACAACAGTTTCATGAAGGGAGTGGGGCGGGTCAGTCTTGTGATTTGGCATCAGAGGACACAAATTACTTTTTATTTTTGGCCAACTGGTTTTCCGTTGGCTGCAGGAGAACCTGTGGTCTGTATTGTGGAGACGTGCTGTATGGTAGTGCCAGGCACGGCCCTGCTACAGTTTTGTTTCCCAAGGTACAAACAACAATGTACCCCCAAGTAGTGTCAATACCAAAATCATGACTTCGATACCTGCCTAAAATATTTCGATACCAATACTGAAACGATACCACAGCAAAAATCTTAAACATCAATAAAATTAATTGATAAATAGATGACAGAACACGGAACTTAAAACTATTATTTTGAAATTAATTAAATAACATATTTTGTCAATATCAGTCAATTTTGTCACAGGTGCAGAGCTATACTGAACACGTTTTAACAAAACTAAAATGATTCAGTTGCAGCTGCTATGCTGTTTTAATACAGTACATGCATAACACTGATAATTGGATTATTGTAAATAAATAGATCAAAGTCGTAGCGTTAAAGCTTACATGCTATCCAATATTGTCCTCTATATTTGAGTTTGTTATTTCTTTTACAGTTCTTCAAATTTGCAAGATATCACTTAATAACCAGGAGCACACATCCTTGGCAGAGATCTGCACTATACTGACCACATTTTCACAATTGGCTGGAAACTAAACCTGGGACTGGACGTGAATGCGTACAGCGAACGAATGGCCGAGAGTCCTTTTTTACTTCTGAACGAGAGACCCGAAGGAGTGAACGAGTTAGCGAGTGAGACAGTGAACGAGAGAGAAGCACCTCGGTCGTGACTGAAATACACCATCTAGTGGTGAAGTATATAGCCTATATGTGCAGCGACTTCCCTTAGGCTGCAAATTAATTTTAGAAATGCAACATTTTCACGATTTAAAATTATTTTGACCAAGATTTGTTACAGTTTGCTCTTTAGATCACTATGTAATGAACTGTTTGGTTTGCTTTTTAAAAAAACGAGTAGCTAAGATACAATGTTGAGATACTTAGACAAATATAACAAATATTCTCTCATATGACTAATTGGTGGTATTTAGCTTATTCTTTAGCACAATTTATCATAAATAATGGACTTTTTTTGACATATCAGAACACAAGTGTTTCAGATCTGTTTTATGCAAATAGGAAGTGCCACTGAACGAGTTGGTGAATGAATAAGATTGAATTTTTTAGGTGAACTGAGGCTCGATTTTGTGGATTTGAATCTCGCCCCAGTTCTGTCTGTGTGGAGGTTTCCACCTGAAGGACGTGCTGTTCTTTGACCTTGGTGCATGTGTTGAGGTCTTACAAATAATCACAGCCATAGTCACACAGCTGTTGACTGAACATGGATGGAGAGACCAGACTATGGAATGGGCCACCGAGGATGAGATTACCGTGTCTTGCTAATCGCTGCATAGTTTGGCCCAGTGGGGACCAATGAAGTAACCCAATGATGATTGACAGGACAGGATAATCCCCGGTTATATGCAGGTGAAGGTTTCAAATCCTCATTTCTCCTGTTGTTGCTTATGGTGTAATTACGATTACACCTAGGGAATTCCTGTGGTTTAAGAAAGCCTTTGGAGATAAATCATCAATTGAACTTTAGCACTATGTAAAGAGCTTGGCTGCCATAAACCAGCAGGCTTCAGAAGGTCTAGACTGGTTCCTCAGAGGTACAGATCCTGAGGGCCCAGCCTCCCAGTGGGAAGATCACATCTACAACTGGTTGTAACATGGTGGAATCTCTCAGAAGAAGCTTGTGTTTGGGCAAGGTTTCAGATAATTACACTCCGCAGGTTTTAAGGTGACCCTCAGCCATGGTAAATCAAAAGCTGCCACAAAATAAAGGTCCCAATTTATTATCTTCTGGTACAATTGCAGTAATAACAAAGTCTATGAAATTGCACCTGTTATGCATGGTGCAGCAGTCAGTATTGAAAGCCAGTGGAACCAAGTCGTTTATACGAGATGTCGTATTGGGCATATGAGGGTGACCCACATATTACTTACAGGCAAAGATTCACCTGTATGTCCTGCCTGTAACGTTCCTTTCACTGTTAAGCATGTGTCATTGTATTGTCCTTAAATTACCTGCCTTTGACGTAGTTATCATTTTCTGAGCTCTTTAACAGAGGTTTTTGTTAAAAGCAAGACATAGTCCTTCTTTAGACTTTTTATCTTAATCTAATCTTAAACATCTTTTTTAGATTGTTTTGCATGTTTGTAACAATTTATGATTATTTATGATGTTTTAGCCTTTTTATTTGTTCAATGTGTTTTATTGTCCATTTGCTCGCCATGAATATAGCCCTGGTTGCTGGCACGGTGTTAAAAGTTAAGATAACTAACTAACTATCTTGTGGTTTGAACCTGTTGGGACCCTGCCTTCTATAATTAAGAATAATTATTTCCATTATTAATTGTGCCTTATTGCCTTTGATTTTCTTTCTTCCAGTGCAGCAATGCTGACCATGTGCTTATCACCTGTATTCTTCAGAGTCCCATGTCTATTTCATTAAGACGTCTTAAATCGGGAAATAGAGGTACGGGTAACAGAGATGACATGTTTGGGTGTTTTCCTTGGGTTAAATGTGATTAGAAGATGCCCACACATTTTTAAAACCACCTCGTTTGAGTAATTGCGTTCTAGATCCGATATCCGGGAGGTGTAGATTATATGATGCATCTATCGACAGTGGGATAGTATAAAGTGGTATAAGCATAATTTCATAAACTGTTTATAACAACATATCACAGCAGGTTATTGCAGTGCTTTAAACATCGGCTACAGCTGCGATAACCTGTTTTAAAGGGCAAGGTAATAAATCTCAGAGACATGTCCTTGTGTTTCGCAGTGTTTGCAATGCAAAAGTCCACAGTCATTGTGACGTCTCCGTAATGCCAGCGTCAGTCTGAGCTGGGCCTCTCTTCAGTGAAGGTGGTGATGGCCGTCGCAGTACCTCTGTGCTTTACCTGTGTAATAATAAACAAAATTACCCACAAAATTAGCCCTTCGCTCGCTGGTGATTCTGACGTCTATGTAAAAGGCAGTAATTATCACAGGGAAAATCTGGTGGGAAAAAAAATGGGAAAGCTTAACCATGCATGGAATGTTAAGGAGCGCTAAAAGTTGGAAGCTCAATTACCCGCATCGCTCTCAGGAGCACCGTCAATCAGTCAGCCTCGGTCGTGTTCCTCTTAGAGCCCTTTTCGACGTATACAGTGAATTAAGGAGCTTTATTGCACAGTCCTTTATACGCTATTGATTTTTTAAAAATATCACTCCGGCTAAAAGCTCTGAGCAGATTGGATCTGTCTTATAGCTACTGTGATACCAGGAGGGCTATGCATCGAAAATACAACCTCTCTCCTTTGCAAGTAAAAGTGCTTGTAAAATAAGAGGTGTGTGCGTGCTTAAACTGACGTTTCATCTTCTCTTTTTACCAATGCTGGAATGTGCCTCAGGCTTATCAGAGCCTCATCTTTGAAATGTACTGTATATCGTGGCTTTTACAGGGAGGCGTAGACACCCAATCAAATAGGACAAAGTAATTGACATTGCTGGGTCCCAAGGTTCCTGTATACGTAGTATAACAGCTGTGTGCTTGTGTCGTTCCTCTACGTTATCATTCCACTTATGATCCCAGCGGAGGTACTCTGCTGAGGTCTACTTGGGGGAGGTATGGGGTGGGTGGGGCATGTCATCAAGCTGTTAGCTAGGCTGCTATGACAGCAGCAGTACATGTAAAAACTGCCCTTCAGAAGGCATGTGAAATGGTGATGGTGCCTTAGGGCATTTTGCGTGTGCTCAGTCCTCCAATTGGCATTTCTGTGCCCCCACAGCCTGTGCACTGAGGAACCAGAAAAGCTGGTCAGTTATGGTCCACGTGATGTTTTGGTTAGGTCACTGTGTAGACAGCTGGGAGTTAGGGTTAGGTTTAGGGTTAGGTTTACGGTCACCCTCGTGGCAGTGCTACCTGGACCAGCGGGAAAGCATCCAGTCAAATCTAGATGTTTATTTTCACAGGGCTCATTTCGAACCATTTAAAATAAACTTGTCAAATAAATTTGCACCAGGGAAGTAGCTGTTTCTGTGCTGAGGGGTTCTGTTATTACTAAACATTCCTTGGCCGCCACCTAGTGGTCCTTAGAAGTATGAGCACATGGTTGTTTTTTTGGACATAGTATATCACTGCATTACGACTATGCCAGCTGCTGGACATTTCCAACTGTTTATTGCTATTGTTTTAAGGACAGATCAACTCATGTTAGAGGAGGGGAAACGTGTTCGGGAATGTGCTGTCATGGTGACCTTTGGTACCGTTGCGTAAACAGCGCTCGTAAAAAACCCACAACAGCACAGTGAATAAGCTCTCTGTGGCTTTGGTTCTGCCTTTCTGTGCTGCCCAATAGAAAACAGATTTATTTTATGGGGAAATACAGCTGCTTATTCCAAAACCATTCCCTGGAATAAAGACGGAATCGCAGAGAGACCATGAGGAACGCCGGCTGGATGGAGCGTCTCTCCATGGGACCCTTGATCTTGTTGGTGACGAGCCTCTGCACGGTGACAGGTGAGCAGCTAACAGGTATTGGGGGAGGCCCACAGAACCAACTGCTGCCCATTGGTTATTAAAGGGCCATATGCCATGATGTTTTCTCGGTACGGTACGTAACAGTGTTTTGCAAAGGCATTCTGATCCTTCCTAGGGCGTCCTGTGCTGCGTCTGTACTGTATGAGAATGTGGAATGCCTGAATTGGTCAGTAATTATGGCCACAAGCCGTCCTGGGGTCAGCTTCTGCTGGCTCGCCACCACCAGCTTAAAGTATTCTATACACGTTCTTCTGGTTGGCTTTCTGCTGTGCTTTTTTCGTCCAGGATACTTGGCCCTGATCTTTTCCTAACCCTTCCTCAGTCCTATCAGATCCCTTGTGGCTTTTAGACATTCTAGCGCCGAGCGTTCCTTGGGCTGTTATTGCAGTTAGCCACATTACGAAGAATGATTTACGGTTTTCCTGCCGTTGCGCTACCATGACTCTGCTGCTGTCATGGTTCACTCTGCGGATCCCTGGATTACGCGCTGTGCTCCGAGTGGGCCAAGAATAACATCTGGTATTTAGAACAAAAAATTGAATCTCTTGGTCTTGTTGGAGGAGCCTGTACGTAGCTTTTCTGTCCTTTGGAATTACCCAGATGCCTTAATACAAACTCCACAAGGGATCAAATCTCTATGTTAATGGTTGTCTCCATGCCACCTGTGCGAATCATGAAGTGCAGCTGAAAGCCAACAGAGGCTCTTTGGTTCCCCACCATGCCTGGCTACTCTGTTTGGTGGGATGAGCCTGACTTGTAACTGGGCTGCTCCATTTCCTGTGTTCCCAGTCATGACAGGCTGAGGGTCTAACATCTGACTGCAGGTGAATAATTATCAGCTGTTTTTCTCACTGTTTAGTGAAACACCAACCTTAAATGTAGTGTGTACTGGCGTCTAACCTTAAATGTAGTGTGTACTGGTGTCTGACCTTAAATGTAGTGTGTACTGGTGTCTAACCTTAAATGTAGTGTGTACTGGTGTCTGCCCTTAAATGTAGTGTGTACTGGTGTCTGACCTTAAATGTAATGTGTACTGGTGTCTAACCTTAAATGTAGTGTGTACTGGTGTCTGCCCTTAAATGTAGTGTGTACTGGTGTCTGACCTTAAATGTAATGTGTACTGGTGTCTAACCTTAAATGTAGTGTGTACTGGTGTCTGCCCTTAAATGTAATGTGTACTGGTGTCTAACCTTAAACGCAGTGTGTACTAATATCTAGTAATTTACCTGCTATACAGTGACTCTGTATTATTCGTTGTATCATGTTTAATACTTTATTCAATTTGCATGAATATGGCTTTTCGATTCTCCCCCATACGGCAATGGTACACTGTTCATCCCTCCTGCAGCGTTAACGTGTGAAGGACAGTGTGGACAACAGCTGCAGGCGTGTTCCTGTCACGCTACGTGCTCGTCTCTTGGGACCTGCTGCACAGATTACCGGCAGTTCTGCCTGGTGGTGTCTCCGTACTCAGGGACGATGTTCGGTGGGACGGACTTTGTAGTCCTCAATGCAACATTTCCATTGGACTCCACTGTTATCTGCAGGTACAGACCAACGCAATGGCAAAACGAAACCAGGCTGCAAAGTCTGCTTGCAGCTTGGGTGCCAAAAGTGAGACAAACACTGTGTGTCGCTGGCAGGTTCAACGGCGACGTTTACACGGCTGGCTATGTGGACGTCGAAGGCAGGGCTCACTGTATCTCCCCCTTACTCTATGAGACTGGGTTTGTTCCTTTTGAAATATCCATGGACGACGGAGTGACATTCAACAGGACAGGGATGTGGTTATCAGGTACTAAAGAATGTAATGGACAACCACACTATTACAATCTGTTTATTTAGGAGACATTTTTTTCCAAAGCAACACATTTGGGGCTTAAGGGCCTTGCTCAAGGGCCAAACTGTGAAATCACCTTGCTCACCATAGGATTTAAACCAACAACCTTCTGATCACACAACACACAAATGATACAAATTAAACTGAATCTGTGTTTCTTTTTTTCATAAATTGGGTGTTATTGAACCCTATTATTCCTAAAGGTTAAACCCCTAAACTGACAAATTCTGTCATTTGCGAAGCCATTTAAGGTGTCGTCATTGCTTTGAGCTCAGCTCTTTTTTTCTCCTTGCAGTGCATTCTGGGAAACTGGAGGCAGAGTTCAAGGTGGCTCTGGGCAATGCTACGCAGTGGCAGTACTACGGCACGGCAGGCGTCGGGGGCTGCCTCAGCCTGTCATGGAAGCCCTGGCAGATCAGAGCGGACACGGTCAACATAGAACTCTGGGCCTACCGGGAGACGGGTAGGTTCGCTGCAGAGATGTTGTGGCTTGGGTCCTCTCAGACAAATCTGTGTCAGATTCAGGCCACACAGGCACATATGTCACTACTTAACCTAGAGAATTTGGAAGCCCTCTGTGCACCTCTCCCTCACTAACATGATGGCGGGAGGCGGTTGTGTGGTCACTTTCACCATCACGAGTTGATTTGAGCTTTTTAAGAAAACATCCAACCGCATTTAAACAGATGGATAATGACCGCAATTGATAGATAGTATCTGCTAGTGGCGGCTGGGCTGGGTGTATGATGTCATTGTCTCGCCACCACCACCAGGGGAGCCCTACTCGGTTTCCTGGGCCTCCGAATGGAAGTACCTATATTCTCTGGGGAAGGGGCTGCCCAACAATGGTAGCTTCAGCTTTGTTCCAAAGCCTGCTGAGAGCCCTTTCTCTGAATGGGAGCTTGGAGCTGTGCGAGTCAGTGCCGGCTCATACCCTGATGGGACAAGGTAAGGGGGACACATTAGGCTCTGCCAGTCACATAACCGCACCATGAACAGTGCATGTGGGGTGGAAAATGACATAACCATGCAATACTGAAGTTTAACTGGCTGCCAGAAATGTAAGTATTTACCCCTAGATTACCTGTTATTTCTGCTAAGAAGTTGAATGCTAGGAACATGCTCACTGGAACTGATAAATAATAGTAATGAATTATCTGTCATTTTCTATCCACTCATGGGAGGTTTACTTACACAAAAATGTTCTGAGGGCAGAACAAAAAATGATTGGTTCAGAGAGATAACCAATTAGATTGTAGTGGAGGTGGGTCCAAGCAACTAGAGGAGGCAGGACCAAGACATCTGATTCATTGGTCCTGCATCCTATAGTTGCTTGGACCCACCTCCTCTACAATCTGATTGGTTATCTTTCTGAACTAATAATTTTTTGCTCTTCCCTCAGAACATTTTTGTGTAAGTAAAACTGCCCTGAGCTTTCTTTCCACAGCAAATGGGGGCGGAATTAATATAGAGCTAAACCACCAGCTAAACCATCATGCTGATCTCAGGTCGAGGTCCTTGGGAACCTCTTTGCACGGCAGTGTGCTGATGGCTGCCCGAGCTCTCACTGCGGTGGGCATTATGTTTCAGGGATGTTCATGCCGCCTGGAGTGAGGACCATGCCCTGGCCTGGCACCTCGGCGATGCCTTCCGGCAGGACTCTGTCGCCTGGGCGACGGCGAAGTGCCTGGCCTGGGACATGCTGGAGAGCCGGTTGCCGAACTTCCTTAACGAGACGCTCGACTGCCCCTGCACTCTGGCCCAGGCGCGCGCCGACACCGGCCGCTTCCATGTGAGCCGGGCTGCCGACACTGACGGTCCTCGAGCATCATACCTGCTAAGCGCTAAAGAGACGCCTAGAGAGACGTGTGAGCATGCAGAGTGACACGACTTGGCTGTTTCCTCAGACGGACTATGGCTGTGACATAGAGAAGGGCAGCGTGTGTACCTACCACCCAGGCAGCGTCCACTGCGTGCGAGCCATACAAGCCAGGTGCCAGCCAAACAAGTCAACATAACTGTGGTAGCGAAGAGACGGTAGCCATGAAACGATTGGCTTAAACGTAAAAAAATGTAAATATGCATAGAAATATGTTAAATGGAACTGGTTTTGTAATACGTAATTTTTGGGATTAGGTTTTATCAATCAATAATTCTGTGTTTTCCCTCCTCCCACTACATCCGGTGACCTTAGCCTGTGTCATGTGACAGATTAGGCTGTAAGAGATTAAGCCCTAAACCAATCAGGGATGCCGTAGATGATGTCACTCAGCATGAGACTGACAGTCTGTTTCCCGCCTACCGGCAGCCCTAAGTACGCCGCTGGACAGCAGTGCTGCTACGACGCCACAGGCTCCCAGGTGCTGACGGCGGACTCCATCGGGGGCAGCACCCCCGACCGGGGGCATGACTGGGGGTCGCCGCCCTACAGGCGCCCTCCGAGGGTGCCCGGGGCATCTCACTGGCTGTACGACGTGCTCAGCTTCTACTACTGCTGCTTGTGGTCTGACAACTGCCAGTACTACTTTAAACACCGGCCATCAAGCGACTGCAGGACCTACCGGGCTCCAAAAGCAGGTGGGCCTTCCAGAGACTCTTCCTCCTTCCCATCTCAGATTACATCTCTGAGCTGCTCTTGGCATCTTATCGTCACGTTACCTGGTTAACCATCTAATTGTTAGAATGGGTTACAGACACCCTGACCTGCAGGGAAGCCCCAGGGCAGTGAAATCGTTACCCTTTGTGTCGTCTGTCTGCGTGTCCTGGTCTTCACAATAAAGCTTCCTTGCATAGCTGCTGAGAGAGCCATTCAGCTATCAATTTTTCTTCATTAAACCAAACCTCCCCCCCCCCCCACAAGTTAATCATTTTTGTCAGTAAGAAAACAAGTGACGAACAAGTGAGAATATGTACGAACCCGGCTGCTAATTTAATTCCACGGTAAATCACCCAGCCGGTCTGTCGGTGTTCTGCCTGATAGACATTTTTCTTCTGTGATGCTTTCCTCTGAGATGCACCGTGTACAGCAATCAAGAAAGCAGATGAGAAAATAATCTCTGTTTGTAGCTTCACTTAATGTGCTGTTTGTGGTGTTTTTGATAACTAGCAAATTCTCAAATGTATTGTTTACAACAGGGAGTGTGGCACCATTCACCAGTTGAAGTGTTTTGACGTTAGCTCAGCATGGTCGATGTGCAGCTGCTTTGTGTGTTGAGTGGGGGTTGGGTCTTCACAGGTGTGGCGTTTGGCGACCCCCACTTTGTAACGTTTGACGGCATCAGCTATACCTTCAACGGGCAGGGGGAGTACTACCTTGTGCGGGCGGCCAGCAAAGGCTTGACCATTCAAGGGCGGACGGAGAGGGTGAAGATGGAGAACGGTGAGAATCCTAAAAAACAGTACTGCCCTATCTCCTGCTTTCCTTCTCGTAGGGCATAAGAGGGCAACGCTGACCCTCATGGCCAAACCCACCCATGCTAACCTGAATGGATCTTTCAGGCACCCTAGCAAAGGCGGCCATGTTGTCTGCGGTGTCCATGCAGGAGAAGACCTCTGACATCATCGAGGTGCGTCTGGCCAGCCAGCGGGATCACCTGCAGCTGCTGAGGAACCAGCAGGTCCTCTCCTTTGCCGAGCAGAGCTGGATGGACCTGTCAGGTTGGGCTTTGCCCTCGACTCCTTGGCTCATAATCACTCATGGGTCACCATGTGTCGCTCCCCCAACACTCAGCATCACATGACCTGGCACGAGACGTTTCTGGGACTTAAGTTCTGTTCTCCTTTAATTACCCTTTACACTTTACATTTTGATTACCGTCTAAGAAATGATGTATGGAAAATTATGATGTAGTGATAAATTCTACAGTCTGCTGACAGACACCAGCGATTATAACATGATATGTCCCATTAATGGCTCCTTAGCCACGTGGAGATTCTCTGGGTAGCCTTTGTTAATATCGTATAGTTTAAGCATTAAAAGTTTGTTTCCCAAGAACAACCGATAGGACGAAGTTGTTCATTTTATGGGGAGCAGTTTATAATGTAATGATGGTGGTGATGATTAGCACAGCTTGGAACACTGTGCCTCCATAGTCCAGGAGAACCAGGAGATGGGTGGGGCGTCTTATGAAATCAAGATGTACTTTTCGAGTTGTGGTGTCTTGAGGCTTTAACGTTGTGGCAACATTATGACGCTGTATTTTGCGCTACTCTGCCCCCCCCCCCTTCCCCCCTACAGGTGTGTTTGTTTTTTCGCCGATCCCACAGAACATTACTGTTATGTTCCCTTCTGGCGCGGGGGTGGAGGCACGGGGCCGTGGGGGGGCCCTGGCCGTCACTGTACTGCTTCCCGAGGAGTTCTCCGGCGACACGCTCGGCCTGCTGGGTCAGATGAACGGCGACCCCGCGGACGACCTGGTTGCCAGCGACGGGCAGGTCCTCCCACCAGACCAGAACAGTCCAGAGGACCTCTTCTCCTTCGGGGCTGGCTGTGAGCAACACTTTTTACTACGATCCATATTTTCATCCCTGATCTGGTACTGAACCCGCATAAATGCAAACCAGATATCATATACTATAATGTGACCCTGCAGACTTTGAGGGATCCGTGTGGGGGGGGGCAGTTGGGTGTTTAGAGTAATTCGTGCCAGTTTCCAGTTTTCCCCCTCATGTCAGTGTCAGAACTGTGACAGCTGCCTTTAGGTTGGTCAATTCACATTTTTCACTTTGACAGTTTTAGTTGCTTATATGGCACTTTTGGGGCCCTGTTTACACTTTATTTTATTGTATTGGAGCCAGTTAGGATGAATACTTTGCGTGAGGACCGTGCAGCTGTTCCCTCATGTAACTCAAACCTTCAGATTAGTTTGCGGCTTTGAATATCAATTGATCCATTTTCATTAGTGGATCAAAAGTTTCATATGGCAGACTGAGCCTCAGATGCCTTCGGGATTAACTTTTCTTTTAGTGTGTGACCAAAAACGTGAGCTCTGTCGGGAAGATCTCATAATCTCACATTCGCCGTCGACCGTAATAGCTTCTATCACATTGCGAATTGCCCTCGAAGGTCAGCAGGGACGAGATAACAAAGGGTGGAAGTTTCTCGCCTGCGAACGGCAGCGATCATCGCCATCACGGGCACACAGCAGACGGGTTTATGGCTGCAGGCCTGTAAAATTACCTGGACTTTACTTGCCAAGACTCTGGCGTTCAGAGGTGCCAAAGAAGGGGTGACTGGGAATCGCCCTCCTTAGCTGAAGGCGTTACCAGGGTGACAGGCCACCCAGCTAAGGTGGGGCTCTAACTGCTCATCGTGTCCTTCGTGTTTTTGTTCACTCGTTGGAAAACGCAGCCGCCACGTGTGATCGAGGTGCGGCTTGATGGAGAGCAAAGTGCATTGCGGAGAAAATAAATCCCTCTGGGTGCCGCTTGCCCGTTACCGAGAAAGGCAGCCACGCACTCCCGGGAAAAATACGCCAATTACTGTCAAAACTGGGATGCCATGTTTCAGTGCATATTAGGAGCTAAGCTGAAGTTTGTTGACTGTAGAGGAAAAACGGGGTAAATTTTCAATTTTTAGTGTTACATGAATAAGCATCGAAGAGTCATTAGGGTTTATGACTCCTATGTAGTCAATGACTCCATTTCTGTCTTTTACCCGGTTTACGCTGTCAGAATAGGGGTCTGATGGGGCCTTTATATCTTCTAGGGCAAATAGAGAACGAGACGTCCCTGTTCACCTACGACTCCCCTTATCTGCTGGACACCTACTGCTTTGCGCCCAAGCACAACCCGGACTTTGTGCCCGCCTTCTCGGTGCCCGAGGACCCCAGCGACCCGCTGTACGCGCAGATGAGTGCGCTGTGTTCTGGCGAGGGCTTTCCGCTGTGCCGCTTCGACACGCTGGCAGCCCGCAGCCTGGACATGGGCAATGCCACACGCGAGGCCTTCCTGGCACATGTGTCAGTCGTGGAGGATTTGAGGCCAGGTAGGGGGGTCTGCACCATGCCTGCTGCTCATGGTGGGGGTGACAGACTTTCTGACCACAGTGCTTGGGTGGTTATTCCTGGAGATGCCATCTTGAGGTGTTCAAGCCGTGTAACTAAGCACATTTTACTAAGATAACAATGGCCGTTTATCTTGGGCTCATTTTCTCTTGTTTATTGAAAAACACAACTGATACTTAATAGATAATATAAGATAACTTAATTCAGATAATTAAAGATAAATTTCGTTGATCATATTTTGCATCCAGCAGCAAGGTAGATGAAATGCAGAAAACATGTAGGGCAAAATGAATTTATATGTGCAATAAGAAAAAAGCAATAGTGCGGGACTTTTCTGTGGCAAAGAGGGCAAGCTGACTGAGGTGTTATAATGATGGAGTTTAATTCAGTTTAGGCTCAGGCTCTGTTCCGATTTCAGCTTGTTTTTTCTCCCCGCGTCCCACCCTGCCTGGCTCGGGCTAGAGATGATATGACAGACATTCAGCACATATTGATGTGAATGTCTTAACTGGGAGTTTCAGTGACGTTTAAAGTCTTGTCAGTAAGGAGAGCCTCTCTGCCCTGCTTGTCAGTGGTGTCCTGTGGCTGGCTGGGCCCTCCCAGCAACGGCAGAAAGGCAGGGACGCAGTACCTCCAGGGGGCAACGGTCAATTTTGCCTGCGATCCTGACTACGTCCTCTCGGGGTCGCCAGAACGTACCTGCCAAGCAGATGGCCACTGGTCAGGTGACCCCACTCACTGTGTTCGGGGTACGTCGGCCGATGACATCACGCTCCTCTCTCCTCGCCCCCGCTCTGTCTGTGATGTTCCCCCTGTACTGTATGCTATCAGACTCTTACACTTCTTTTCTCTGACAGAATGTGAACCCACAGAATCTCTGCAAAGACACAAATCACATTAATTTGGTCAGATATTGTTACTTTTGTATTATTAAATGTCATGTACTAGACATTTTTATGCAGTATAAAAACGTTTCCATCAATATTCCAACAGCTGCAGAAATTTCCGAGATAGTTGTGGGGTGTTTTTACTCAGTAGGTAAATACTTGAAGGAAATTGATCTGTTTCTTCAAATACTATAGCTCTGTTCATCATTAAGCAGGGTCCTAATGTATAAATCAGTCTGAAAGTTAATAATAAAAAAGGATCAATATTTTTCTTGGATGAAATGGGGGTATGCCATTTTAAATTTATATCGTCGCATTTAGTGGCTTGGTTCCCCCTAGTGATCAGAATAGGAATTGCACCAGAAAGGCCAGTAGGTGTGATGAATGCCTCTTTGGCTGGTAAACTGCATACGTGTTGGCATCCTAAGATTCCTTTTGTTTTTTTCAGATAACATCCTGGGAATTGTGCTGGGCAGTGTGATTGGGTCCATTGCGCTGGTCACCTTGATAGCAACAATTGTAAGCCACAGCAAAAAGCAGCAGAGGTATTGAGCCTATGATTTGCATAGATCTCACCTATATTTGTATTTTTTTTTTAACTTGAGATAAGGTTACTTGAATACAAAGGTATATAACCATTTATAGAGACCGCTGTTAATGTCTGTGTACAGGATTTGCTTTGTTAGGGGGACACACTTCAAAAAAACTGAAAACACATACGTGAGAGAGACAGAAGGAACATGACTGTGTTTAGAATGCTGCACACTGCCAAGAGTAGCATGCTGGTGCAGTCACAGAAAAAAAGTTAAAATGCCAAAAGTCTTGTATTTTGTATGGTTACTTATGGTTAAGGTTAGGGCTGGGTAGGGGTTAAGGGTGTCATTCTTGGGATTAGGGTTTTTCTCATAGAAATGAATGGACAGTCCCCACAAACATATGAATACAAACATGTATGTGAAGAGAAAGAGAGAGAGAGAGAGAGAGAGAGAGAGTGAGAGAGAGAGAGAGAGAAGATAAGGGAGTAAGGGAGAGTGTGTGTCTGTTGGTCTTTCCAATCATTTCCCAGTATTGTGAAGGTAACCTTATACTGGGATGCGGAAATCCATATCCCATCATACAGAAACTTTGAGAAATTGGGTCTGCTGGTCCGATCTCTTACAGAACATGCTAGAACATAGCCAAACCACTGTCTGAAGAACAGCACACTGTTTAAACCATCAGGGGTTTAGTCCCACCTGAGCATTCTTCAAGAAGCCACAGCCCCCCACCCCCCCCCCCCCCCCCCCCCCCGCCCCCCCATCTCTGGAATGCAAATCAGCGCTTAAAGGCACGGAGAGCTTGAAGAGCTCAGTAATCTTCAAATGAGCTTCTCCATCACTCTCTTGCGGCCAACCACACTGCCCGGGACCCTGGGGCCCAGCGGCCTACAGACGGCTCGTCTTTAATCTTCCTGGGGAAGGAAAGTGTCGGAGGTTTGCTTCTTACACGGGTCCCATGTACCGTTGGGGGTGGTGGGGGTGCAACAGATACACACACAAATATTAAGTTTGCTACACCTGAGGTGGAAGCTACAGGTCCAGAAAGTACAAATCCAGACCAACCAGTTGAGTATATAGAGTCAGAGTCACAGAGTACTCAACTGGTTGGTTGAAGCAAAACCTTGGTCTGGATTTTTACGTTCCGGACCCAAACTTTCTGCCTCTCTGTAACACATAGTATACGCGCACCCGGTTTTCAGGCTGTCAATCAGCAGACCAACAGTGGCTGCCTCAGTATCTCACCAAAGAAGCTTTTAGGCCCTCAAGAATTTTTTTTCCTTTCCCCTTCGCCAGGTGGCAGATCATAGCACATGGCCACCATGTCTGTGGAGCCAGGGTGCTGGGGGGCTTGAAGATAAGGCCTCACCTTCTTTGCAGTCTCTCCTCAGCCTATCGCTTTCATCTGTACTCACCATCATAATATTCCAAATTCCCTTTCAGAAGGGCGCCCGAGACGGAGGCCAACGACATCTGAGTGATGGAGCACCATGAGCGACTGCTTCTTCTAGTTCTGGTCATCCCCAAATTTGTGACGTCTGGTTTACTCTACCTACTTTCCACCAGGACAACACTCAAGAGATTCAAGGTTCAAGAGTTTTATAAGTCACACACACTTTTATACAGGTTCAACACGCAGTGAAATGAAAAGCTAGTCTGCTCCAAGATTGTGCAAAAAAACCCAGGAATCAACCCCAGATCATATGAAGAGGAATCTTGCACGATACCACTACACCAACAGCACTCAACCAATCCCATGGTGGCTCAGGCTGATTCTTCAGCAACACATTTCCATTGGCGGCACTGGGACGATTGGACACGGGATCTGCATGAGTGGACTGTTGGTCTGTCAGTACATGCAGGGGTAATACCAGCTATTTCACTGGGCAGCGCCGTCCCTGATTGCTGGCTGCTTTTTAGATTTCGTTCTGTAAATACTAGCTAAATGAAGTCATGGTCCGTTACTGTTCCTAGTGTAAACCCATCTTCTGCCACAAACTCGCAAAAAACGGGGTTGTGGGGAACTCCCCACATCATTTAATCTTTCATCTCACTCCTGTGAGGAGAAACGCAGTGCCCGTTGGTGTAATATGGGATTTGCATACAAGGTTTATGCCTTTGCCTTTGACTCATGGACAGCACCAGCACTATTGGGGCATTTTCTGGGTGTGACGGACATTATTTCCCCCCTCATTCCTCTGTGTTCCTGTCTTATCCTGTCATATGACCTGAAGCTGTAATTTGATGTGAAAATTAGAAGAAAAGATGAAAAATCATAAAGGACGCCCTGAAAAACAGCAGCATTATATGTCTGACTAGGACACGGTTAGTTAGCATATAATCTCTGATTCTTGAAAACACTGATCTATGAGAAGCGGTGTCAGATTAGGGCCGCATGCTGCCATGTGGCCCAATCAGATAACTTTGGGATGGAACTGCTTGTGAGTTTGTGGAGGTAAGAGGAAAACTCGTAATGTGGGTCTGCTAAGGGTTAGTGCTGGAAGCAGACCTCCTCCGCGGGGCTCCAGGTCACGGCGGGATGGAGCTTTTGAAGCTCTGCAGTGGAGCAAGTCTGCAGTTCATGCTGTTTGACTTGGCATATGCTTTTATCGACAGTGTTGCGCATCGATGGCGTTACTGGATTATACAGCTGCATTTATGGTGTGATTGGGAGTGTGCTAACGGCATTTAAAACTAGATCCAGAAAGCAGATATAATACAGGCTGGGTTCCATTTTGGATTCAGATGTGTTTCTAGTTCGAGAATCTAAATCAGAAATGTAATGTGTGTGAAAGACCTGGGCTGGACCTGGATCCCCATTCCAGACTCAGAACAGATATAACACAAGCAGGGGCTGCATTGGTATCTGGTTTCATTTTAAATCGGTTTCTGATTTCAGAGTTAGAAACCACATCTAAGTAGGCAAGATGCCATGCTGGATGAGATCTTTGGAGGAACATCTCCTGGCCAGTCCTGACAGAGGGTGCCTCTCTCAGGAGCTTCTGAGATGCGTCTTCAAAGCCAAGCTTAGTGAAGCCCCCCCCCCGACCATGCCTTGGGCCCTGAGCTCCGCGCACGCTGGAGATCACAGTCGCGGCCCCCCAAGGAGCCTGCCCTGGCTGGCATCCTGGGCCCTTTCTTGTGGCTGCCTCCCTGCATGGGATATTAACAGTTGTAATCTCCCCAGGTTTTATCCGAGATGGGGAGGCACACATGTGCATTTCTGCTTCATCGCTGGAGGATGAAAGAACAATTTCCAGCTCGTTGCCGACACTTGTTCGTAGCTGTAATGTTTACGTGTGCTTATCTCATAGCCCCCACCCCCCCCCCCCCCCCCCCCGCCTGCCGCTTCAACTGCAATTACGGTAATTCTGCTCAAACACTCGTTGGTGTTCTGTGTTTGGCAATGGGCTGCATTCTCTATGGGGAATTTCCATCAAAATCGCTTCTATCCCTTTATAGTGAGTGGATTAATGTGGCTCATGGACTGGCTTTAAGTGGACTTCTTCTTTAAACTGGAATACAGTTTCTAAAATTTGCAGCTCGTAGTCAAGGTTTTCAACCCCCCCCCCGGGTTGTTTGATGTTTCAAATTAGCTCCTGCACATGAATGCCGTGAAAGGCATGTTCAGGTAGAGGATGACAAACAGGTAAGACTGGGTCACACGGCCCGGCTGACGTGCGTTGTGGGTGCGGTGCAGACGTGACTCGTGTGGCGAGTCTTCGCAGCCTTTTTTTGCCGCGTTTCTGTACCCAGACAGCGGGCAGTGACTGCAGAAGGGGCCTGTATGCTGTGTGACTTCACTGTGCATTTCGAGCTATTTCAGGGACTCAGGCCGATGCCTCACATCCCCTCTTCCCTGCCTGTGTCCCGTATCCCTTCTCAGGATGCCAGGAAATGCTTGTTCACTGGTCTGGTAGCGCAATGAGTGTATAGGGGCACATATGGTGGTGTGTTTTGGAGCTATGAGTCATGATGCAGTTTTTTGGAAGAGCTGACGTCTTCCCGTGGCAGGAGGCCAAAGCTCTGCGTCTGGGGAAAAGCGCTCCACTTTGGTGACAGTCTGGCGGAATGAGAACACTCACCACATGGAGGAACGTCAAACTAATTCCACGTGACGTGTAACCATGTAACATCTTGGCTGGGGTGCTCTCTGCCCTGGTTGACCTGAGGCCCAGTGGATGCAGTGTCATGTTTTTTTGGATGTATGAGAGCCATGTTTTGGGGGGGGGGGGGGGTGGAAAAACAATCAGTACGATAGGCCTTCCTGGGAAACACACTGGCAACAAAGGGCACTGCCGCCATCCAGTCTAGCAGAACCTTCAGCTGCTGTGCTTCATTTGTTCAATGTCTTATCTCGCCAAAGCCATTGTCCATTTTCACCGCTAGCAGTCCTGTTTTTTCGACACTTTGTGTGTCTTTTCTGTGACATTGACACTTTATGACTGAGCATCAGTGACCGACTCAGTGCATTTCGTAAATCTACCTGAGGTCCTCATCAGCTGGTTCCGAAAATTCTCGACAGACGTCCAAAATCAGGATAAATTGTCCTTCACTGTGGACACTGGAAGTAAGAAAAGAATCCATCATTAGATTGTTTCGCTTACGTAAAATTCAAAACGGCTTAATGCATTTATACCGTTGGATGTTTTTACCATCACAGTCCAAAATGGGTTCCCACCCCTGTGCCTGAGCCAACAATGTTCAGGTTTATGTCTCTAAACCACTGGCGTGCGAAATGTACAAAAATTTAATAAAAACAAATAATAAAATAAACAAGGCAACACTACAAGTTATGGAAAATACTGATGTTACCTTAGATTTGTTATTGGAAGGCGGGCCAATCATTTGGCGGGCCAATCAAAAATCCCTGGGTGGCTAAAAGCTGTTAAATGCTCCTAAATAATGGCTAAGATCGAAGATATGTACCTCAGACCGTAAACCCTTCAGATCTTAGAGGACTTTGTTCCTACTATCACTAATCAGGCATAATTTCTTTGAACTCGTTGCCATTAGCTGCTAGGCTTCCTGTGTAGCTCGGTCACTGCTGACAGTCATCGTGCCATTTAACGGCCGGGAAAGCGGAGGGAAGAGGGCACCCAATCAGGACTTTGATAATTCATCCCGTCTAGGAAGTGAAAGCAACATTAAAAAACAAACTGTGTGTTTGGGTTGAGGGCCATGAGCAGGATTTGGCCTAATAATTGTTTTTATTTTCCATGGCCAGATCTGGCAGAGATCATTAGGTATCGCTGTCATTGTGGCTTCATAACAAGGCCTGCTAATGGAGGAGGTGCACTCTGATGTGTGGAAGGCGCACTACATTTCTGGTGCTGTGTTACTCTGCCCCCCAGCAAGCCTGGTCAGTGATCTTTCCCTTGTTAAAGATAAAATTACAGTGCTTATTACCCCAAACATTACCCAGGCTCTGAAGTGTTGATTTGGCAGAACGTGTTTAACGATATCACTAGGACAACTTAACGATATTACTAGAACTATTTTCCAAATGACAAGTTTCAGGGGATATTGAGGCTCCTTTCATACAAATCACATAATAGCATTGTGCGATTGCACTGATTATAGTCGAAATGCTCTAAAAACGTTCTAATGTCACTTTAATGTAACTTCAAGAAGAGAGCAACGCATATAATAATAAAGCAAAACAGAATAATAGATAGAACATAATATTCCCTTAACAGCCCACTGGAGGGCAATACAATTCGCCCCTCGGGGTACGTTACCGGGGGATTTCCCTCTTAATTAGAATTTCTTTACGCTTTCTTTTAACTTTGCATTTTTTAAGTCACTGGTGTTTCATAACGAAAGGCGTTCCTCCTACGGGGTATGTACTCTGCAGCTGGGTGCACTGGCTTTACGAATACGTAGTGCTGACAGCTCTGCGGCTCTAATGATCCCCCCCCAATCCCAATACACACCCCACGTTTACTGGTCCAAGCAATTGGGCAGATCTGCTGCCATGTGACCTGAAATCGGATCTCACTGTCACCACGGCCCCAGTCCGCGTTCATATCTGCGGCGAGCGGGGCAGAACTGGCCGCACTCAGGACCGGTCGCTGCCGCGTCTCCTTCGTCCCTTCAGCGTTTAAGTCCGAGCTCTGGTCACCTGCGATCCACCTCCTGTCTGCTTGGACGGAGAGAGAAAAACCTACATTCCTTTTTCATTTTTCCAAGCGTAGCGATGAACTCGATTTTAGCGTCTGTGCTGTTTTTTGCTGGGTTTTTCTACAGAGCCACCTCTTATCAGTTAGGCACAGGTAAGTACTTTAACATCACCTATTCTTTTTTCCCCACCAATTTTAATTCGTCTCGAAATGTGTCGATTGACCTTCTTTCTTGCCCATTTACTATCTGGATCTTGCAAAGCATGTTTTGATTTACTTTAATTAAACACGCTCACTTTATTTAGAAAAATGATCAACGATATACCATGACAGCACGTCTCGGCTGCAGAATCCGTCAATGTTGTTTTCTATTATTCTTCATAGATATTATACGTTTATTGTCGAGAAAGAGGCGATATTTGTCCATCCGTGACTCGGCACCTGACACTTGCGGTAAAGTTTAAAAAGCTGTTGGATGCCTTCCTATTAGTAATGTAGGACTCATCTGCAGGAAGATCTGACGAAGGCAATACTTTAAAATGAATTTTTACTTTTTGTTTTATATTTGCTTTTAACTTAATTGCTTGTTAAATATTGTTAATGCAAGCGTTCATACTGTATTTCACTGATATTGTATTTCTTTTTCCCTGCTTGTCCAAACCACCTTACAGTTTTACTAGCTATACCGTCGGATGTTTTAATGGAGCGTTAAGTACATTCTAACGATGTAAAGGTATCCCGGTCCCCTTCCCAGACCGGCAGTCTCCAAGTTGTAAATCAGTGTCCTCCAACACCACCGCTCCTTAAATGCAGAATCTCTTATTGCATGTCATGAGTATCTACGGGATATTTTTCCGTTTTCAATCTAGTACCCAAATATACTTTGACTTCTTAATGTGATTAAACAAGCATCCGTTGCGCAGTGCAGAATTATTTCTCACGTGTTTGCCGACACGAGTTTATGTGCTTTGGCCACGGCGAAATGTGTTTCCTATTTGGGTTAGTGGAGCGTTAACTTGTTGAGGACCGGATCGCTGCGGGAAACCAGAAGCCGCGGCGAAGGACGGCGATCTCCCGCGCTGGCTACCCGGACCAGCTCCCTTTTAGCATTGCGTGGATCTCTAGGTACAAGTGATGGACACCAATGAAGATGCGTCCGGTCACCTGTAACAGTGCATAGTGCCTTACAAATTACGTTTTAAGGTCTTTTAAAAAGCTTGATGTTCGGGATGATTCAGTGGTGTAGGCTACTGGCTGCCAGCCCACTCTAATGTATTGGACTAGATGATGGACTTTCTATTGTTACGTGAATGAATTCATTCAGTTGGAAAAAAACAGTAACCAGATCATGGATTTTAATGTATTCCCAGCTTTTGCAGCTAGTGTTCTGGACCTTAAACGGCTTGGATCGTTATGTAGCCTATCATATATTTGGATACTGACTTATTTCGGAAACAATTAAATATCCTGGTCAAATTGTAATTTTTTTTATTGTTTTGGATTAAATATGAAAAAATGACATAATGATGAAACGATTAGCGTGAAAATTTATTTAACCGAAAAGTTGGTTTCGGATCTCTGTGCCAGGTAGAGGCAGCTGCAGCTGACAATTGTTGCCAGGAGAAAAATTATATATATACTCCTGTAGCTAAACAAGTAAAGCATTGTGATAAAGAAGGTTTGGGTTCTAATCCCAGGGAGAACACATAAATTGTAACGCTGTCCTCTGCTTTAAGTCATTTTGGAATAAATTGTCAGATAAATGAATTAAAAAATACATATATATTCAACTCATGTTCTCAGTTCCTGTGTAACGTGTAAATCAATGTGTCCTGCAACTAGATAGTAATGGTGACCGTCTGTTAGAAATTTGGGGCTGTAGTTAGTTTGCAAGATTATACATGGGACAGTACAGATCTTTATGACTGTGGACGGGACATCATTTACCCGGAACCGGGCGCGAAGGAGAACTCAGCTTCTGTCTCTTATTAGAGGCCCGTCCAAGGCCGTACACAGAATGTTCTGGGTTTTATTTCAAACAAGCGAACACTGCTTTGTTTCTTGCTTCTCGCCAGATGCTCTTGGTAAACAACTTTCCAGATGTGGCCTGGACGCTGCCTGAGCTCGCACATCAAAGGGCACGCCGAAAGGACCAGCATTCCAGGCCTCCTTGTCATTAGAGCCTTTCCAAAGTGGACCAGGAGCAGGTTAGCTGGTGGACTCAAGCGCTCTGGCTCTGTGGATAGGAATTAAGCCTAGTTTGTATTTCACCTGTCCGCATGCTGTTATGCTGCTCGTATGGTCATGCTTGCGGACTTCTGCATACATACTGTATTTGTCTGTGTACGCAGATGGTCGTGGTTGGTGTATATGTATGGCAGTGATATTCCACCAGATCAGCAGGCTCTCGATTCCTTGCACATGGGCAGTCAGCATGCAAAAAGTCAGGCCCTAACGACACGCGGACAAGTGAAGCACGGGATTGGTCTTTACAGTCCCCTTGACCGACTGACCCTCTGTCCTCTGTTCCGTCCAGTGGAGTGGACAGCGTGGGCACAATGAACGCTGTTGTGCATACAGTACATGCCACCCTGTACAGTTCTGGCTTGGGAGGGAGGGGGGTTTGATTCCAAGGAGGAAAAATGGGTGGGGGGTTGCATTCTGAGAAACTGCATTTTGGATTTGTGATGAAAGGCAAATCTGTTGCTGGATGGGGATGGATATTGGACTTGAATGCATTTACTTAATTTACAGAAGTCCAGGAACATGACAGAAGGCAGACAAACATCCTCCCACTCTCTGCACTCAGATGCGATCAGAGACTAAGTGTTTTTGTTATAGGGGTTCATTCTGGCCTCACTGGAAGATGTCATCTGTCATTCTGTGTCATGATGATTTCAGCTATTCTTATTTATATTTACTTGGAGAATTTAATTATTGATTTCTAAGAAGTGAGTATTTTATGGTAAGGTCCTTTCCGGCCCATCCTTGGTTCACTAAATTAGAAGGGTGAAGATTTATTGCAGGATCGGAGGATGTAGATGCCTGCTTGACAGACGTATGCGGTGCTTGAAACTCTTGGCGTTGATCGAGGAGCTCCGACGGCTTTTCCCCAATGACGCGTTGGCAGGAGAAACACATCATTCTGGGCCTGTTGTCATGGCGTCTGGCGCCTGACTTGCAGGACCGGGTTTTGGCAAGCGGGCACTTCAGTCTTCATGGCCCATGGATTAAGACAGAAGTTTGTTCTGGCTCATGATGGTTGATAGACATCAAAGGCTAAAATTCACCCCAGGGGAACTTCAGGAACTTCCCGAATACAAACGGGTAACTGGTTGCTTAGGCTGGGGTTGCATGGACTTTATTTACCAAACCAGTTGCCTTCGTTACAGATTTTACGCCGTCAGAAAGTTTTTTTTCAGAAACTTCCAGAAACTGTATGGAGAAGAGGCAAAGGGCATGGAAGAGCGTGTGCAAAAAATAGTTTTTATTGTGGAGATGAAGACATGACAGGACCTGCTGGCTCGCCCAGTGCCCTCGTTCTGTGCTGTACAGCGTAACCTCTTCCTCAAAGGACTGGGTGGGCACAGACGTGAATGCCAACCAGATCAGTTCATCATAGTAAAGGTCTTCTGTTTCCTCCATGTCATCTGTGTACAAATAAAAGGTTGACAGGCTGTGGGATAACTGCTCACGTCTCTCCCACTTATTCCTTTGTAAATGCTTCACGGTACACAGGTTTAGCAGAACCACAGACGGGGGCTCCCAAAGGCACATTGATACGATACCCGTCTGTGGCATGTAACTCCTTATGGTACCTAAATCGTCCCATTGGCCTGTCATCCTGCCAGCACCGTGGAAAAAATGACAAGCTCTCTAAATAAAGGGAAGCTGTTCTGTTTTTTCTTCTTCTCGTCTTTCCCCACCCTCCATTCCTAGGCTTCATTCCTAGACCAAAACCACTATGTGGCTTCAGGAGCAAATGATTACCCCAGACACTTTGAGGTGCCATCTCTGGCAATGGAGGGTACTGCAAGGGCTGTATGTTTTGTAGGTCTGTTGTCTTGGCGGGCTTTTGCAGAGAAATATCTTATAGGTGGGTTTGTTATAACCCAGTTCAAATGAACTCCCCCCACTGGTGTCACCTCAGTGATCTGTTTCCATGAGTTACCTGTCCTGTTATTTAGGTATGAACCAGCTAGTCACTTGCTTTAATGTAGCCGAGATGGTGACTGATGTCTGAGAAACGCATCAGAAGGGCAGGATGATAAAAAGTATATAAGGTAATTAGACTGTTTGGGTGGCTGATTCTAATGAAAGGTTTGGCTTCTTTTTTTAACGCTTCCAACTCTTACAGATTTTTCACGGCTCAAGCTGTTCACAGTCGGAATTGGATTTACTGTAATCATGGAGTTTGTCTTGGCACACTTGGTCCGACTCAGCATGAAAACAAGATACGACGACAGTGAGGGCATCACAGACAATACTCTGACAGACAAGCCTGCAAGTGCAACTATTTAGACCTCTAATTGTAGTACAGAGACTTTCTTTGTACTGCAACTGCTGGGGTAAAGTTCCCTGTTCAAAGGTACAACTATTAGCCTCTGGGGCAATCCTAACCTTCCAAGTTTCAGCTGTGCCATTCAGCCTTGCAGTCACAGCAGGAAAAAACAAATAAAAATGCAGCAAGACAACCAAAAAGAAATTCATAATTCAAGCTAATTATGGTTCTTGATTCATTTGTAGCGCTTCATGAAAGAGCAGCCTTCTTGTCCGTCTTCCTGCATGCGTGTTTGTGGGTTATGTACGTACGCGTGTGTGGGGGAGCAGTGACGCTTCACAATGCCTTTATTTAGAATGAGAATGAGACGGTTGTCGGGGTTTCCTGATGGAAATGTGCTGGGCCTGAGGTCAACCTTTCAGACAGATGCCATCTTGAACAGGCAGGAACTAGCTTCACTAGGCAGACCGGCCACTTGCCTCTCACGTGACTTTGCCTTTTGAAGACCTTTCAAAGACGACGTTCTTCCTTTTTAAATGTTTCGTCGGTTGTGGCTGACATTACAGTATCCTTCTGAGAAAATGCTCCTGACCACAAATGTGTATTTTTGTAGTTGCTTACAGTAATTTCATTCTATATTTTTGAATGGCTCATGTGTGTTTTTGAATGTTGTTTCAGAGCTTGGTGGACGGTCGTCCAAATACGCATTAAGGTCCCTTTCTTAGCCTGTTAAGTCAGTCGTCCATTTAAGTCTTTATGCAACCCTGTAATTGTGCAATCTTAGGAACTGGGAGTTTGCTTTGGTGCCAGCACTGGACCCAGAATGCACAAGCTAACCCAACAGGCACAAAGGGCACCAGAGACCAGTAGGGTTTGGCTGCACACTCTGACCAAAACCACCTAAACTTAACAAGCTCAATGGGTCTTCACTTTTGGGCCTGAGGTCTGAAGCTCTTAGAGGTGGTACTGGGGGAGGCCAATATGATTGTTAAACTCAAGCTGCTCTGAAATACAAATAATTGGTTCTGGTGTTTGTGACCAGGAACACGGATGGATGGCACACGCTGGAGTCCACCAGGACTTGAACCAAGACCAGAATGATGGGTGAAGAACCCTGGTTAATTTTAAAAAGAAAAATAATCATGGGAGTTTCACTTACACAAAAATATTCTGAGGGCAGAAAAAAAAAAAAAACGATTGGTCCAGAGAGATAACTAATCAGATTGTAGAGGAGGTGGGTCCAAGCAACTAGAGGAGTTGGAACATGGAACCTCCTCTACATTCTGATTATCTCTCTGAACCAGTCATTTTTTTGTTCTGCCCTCAGAACATTATTTGTGCAAGTAAAACTCTCATGAGCAAGTAAAATACTGTACCATATTTTCCTATTTCAGGAGATATGAAACACATGCCGTGCTGACATGCTCTCTGACTCTGCTTTGAATATGTTGTCCTTTGACCTCCATTCTTCACTTTGATAGAGTAATTTGGACGATAACTTATAACAGAGCCCAACAGAAGAAACGCATTAAAGCTCAGTCTTGGCCACGCACCAAATTTAATTAGGAGAACTTGACCAGCAATGGAGTTGGAGCTTCTTTACCTTTTGCCTGAATTGGGATGATTAGATGACTTTGTATCCCTGTGCCTATAAAAAAGCACTTTTATATTCCTGCCAGAAGCAGAATGACATGCTCTGATTGGATCATAAGGAGGGCCCACGCTTAGGTACACGTGTCGTTAAACACATATGCGTCTAAGCGCCCTTGCACAGCTGTGTGTCTGTTTTTAAAATATTTGTATGAGTTCCAAACATGTGAGATCGTAGGAGATGGTTCCTTTATCGCAGGCTGAGATGTTAGCAAAGTGTTTTGGTTTCTCCAATACAGCCGTAAAGATTTTTCTTTTTATTAAATATTTTCCTCCTTTTTCAAATTACTGTGGTTGTTTTCATGGATATTTTAGAAGAAAAAAAAACCACAGGGCTCCAGAAAAACGTTTATTTTGTGTCTCATGCTCCCTTGATAGGCCTTATGCTGATTTTCATGTTGATTTTTCTTATATTTTTTAAGCGTTCATTTGTTTCATACACCACAGCCTTTTCATCATTATGCCCCCGATTCACTTCATCTGCTTTTCTGCTGTTGAATATTTCCAGTAAAGTGTTCACCCACTGATGCCCCCCCCCCCCCCCACAGATAATTAACATTCCACTCATGCCAACAAACCATAGGCGAGATACGCGGGGGGGGGGGCTTTCCGCATTTGCGGCCCCCTGTGACATCCGTGCCCATTCCCAGGGCACCGTTGGCATTGAGCCATTTCTGAGATCTTCTGACTTTCCCCCACAGCCTCCGTTCTTACCCAGTGAATTGTTGGGCCTCCTTGGCAGAAGAGCAGCTTGAGGTTGATGTTGGCCATGAAGAGCAGGTATCTTGGAGCATCTTAGGCAAGGGAGCTGCAAGTTAATAGCATGGCACAAAACTTGGAGGAAGTCCTCTATACACATGGGCTAGGTTCTCCATGCAAGTTCTCATAGGTGAATCATCTTTATTGAAGTTTATTTATTGTTCCGTTACCATTCAATTCCAGCTGACTGGGTTCTATTTACCTGGGTTCTATGTACCCTTTCATACAGGTTAATCTGGTCCACAGATAATCTAAATGTCTCCAGTATGTAACATGTGGGTAACTTGCATTTAGGGTTCTTTCCCTCCTTACTTGTGTGGAAAAAACCTTTTCACATGTTAGATTTGTTCCTGAAGTACCAAGCTATGCCAGGGCCTGTCTTGGGGGTGAACCAATAGGGGACAGGTCTTGATCTTTAACTGTTAAACCAGTCTCACTCTGTGTAGGTGAGGCATGGGAGATGGCTGTCCAGTAGAATGGCACGAATAGTTCATGCTTGGTATAATGATGCCTTCCTTGGTTCTGTGCCGTTCATGTTTTTCTGATGAAAATGGATGGATTTCTGAGGTTGCATTTGCTCCTGGGGCCCTGATGTGTTTTCACAGCTCTGCTCTTCCCGTTCGGCCACCGCCTCCCCTCCGTGGCATGGTTAGCCGCAGAATCCTTTTGGGTGCCAGAGTCTCTAAACCAAGTGCCCAAAAAAAGGGCAAAATGGACACAATGCCTGATTTTCTTTGGAGGTGCCCCAGCTGGCATAATTGGACTTGACAGGCTGCTTTTGGGCCTGGTCTCCTTTCATTTCCTTTTTCCGTTTTGAGACGACCAAGTCAATAGAAGTATCTGCTCTGCACTTGTGGAATCGTCTGCAAAACCGATCTCAAACGATTCAGTTTGCATATTCCAGTTCCAGTATGGTTTTTAGGAGAATGCTTCTTCTAAAATTTCGAAAGGAGAAGGCATGGGTCTTCTAAATGTTGCTAACTGCAAAACATGCATCAAGATCCATGCAGTTGACTAGTGACAGACGAAGGGATGGCCTCCTTGTCCTGGCCTGAGGCTTTGCTTAGAAATGGTACTATAAAGGGATTCTCCTGTGTTCCAGAGTGCTACACGGCCAACGGTGAGGACTACAGGGGCCAGCAGAACCAGACTAGCCTCCACAATGGTCTGCAGTGCCTCTACTGGAACGAGACTCTCCAGCACCCCTACAACAGCGTCAAGTTCCCCAACGGAGAACGGGGCTTGGGCCCACACAACTACTGCAGGTAAAAGCACGAGGTTACTCCCCATCAGTAGTACAGAATTAAGCTTTTTTCATTCACATGAATACCGAGTGTGAATATTAGTCAAACTTCAGGTCTGCGTTCCTACTTCGATTATTTGTTCTTGGTGAATGAGTGAAGGAGCAAAATGTTCCAGAAGAATTGAGACCTGCTGCCTTTACGAGAAAAAAATCAGTAGAGGGAGACCCAAAGGATGACAATATCTATAAAGGCCTTTTATTGCTATCAATGGGGGCAGCGTGTGGCTCAGTGGACTAAGCCTGTGTGCTTGTAATCACAAGGTCGCCAGTTCAAACCCAGCCTCAGCATGTCTATGGGTCCTTGAGCAAGGCCCTTAACCCCCCAGCTCCCTGGGCGCCCCAACAGGTGGCTGCCCTTCACAGACAGCTTGTTCTACAAAGAGCAAGTTGATGGAGGCATAAAAAGAATTTCCCCATGAGGGACAATAAAGGTTAAATAAATTATTGCTGTTCTGCTACCTTTTCTTCTAGCAAGTGAAGTGAGGACATGTTCAATATCCAAATCCTTTGCTGCCTGCATGTTCAGACCCTGAACAACAACACTAGCAGACTCTTCAACCTGGGAAAACATTACTGACAGGTTCCTTAGTCTAAATTGTTGCCTTGAGTTTTTTTTTGATAGAAGGTTCCTGAGGGGATTCCGGATGTACTGACCAGTAAGTCCAGCATCGCTAATCAGAGTAGCTCATGCTGATGTCGAGCTGAGGAGGTGTCCTGTTGTAATGACGCTCTGCTCTATCTCTTCAGGAACCCCGATGGCGACGTGGGGCCGTGGTGTTACGTTGCAGATAATGAGGATGGAGTCTACTGGAAGTACTGCCAGATTACCACCTGTGAGAGTGAGTCAAATTGTTGGTCAAGGCTTAGTTTGGTCATTTGAAGCTTGGAGTCCAGCCCCATTGCAGCTCATACTATTGGGTGAAGAGGACTTTAGGGTGAGCTAAAGGACACATGGGAGTGTAGATTCTTACGTGTCTTAATTAATGCATCCACATTCGGCAAGTCCATCACCGTAGTGGTTGACTAGACATTTCCATGTATTTATTTTGTGGACACTCTCTTTTTGGTCCATAAGGTGATTCCTACACCCTTCCAGTCTAGGCTCTGTGTTATTGGAATCTCAGTGGTATGGGTCTGGACCAGAGTGTTCCAGTGAACAATAGTCTGTTGTCCGACGAATGATGAACTTTAACCAGCAGCTCCGCCCCCAGTCCTGGATAAAAACTACCCCTCTTGTGGGGTGGGGTTGGGGCTTCGAGTTCTGAATGCTATTTTTGAGGAAGACCATGTTCAGAGAAACTGCAGACATTTACAACTGCATAGTATCAGCCTGTCAGATGGGAACAGTCTGGTGTGGAGGTGCCTGTTTGCTCCAGATGGGGTTTTTACCCCCAAACCCATATCTTTCCCTTCTTCTGCGATCTCCGCCTTGTGACCCAGAGGTGACTGCAGTTTCCCCGGTCCGGGTCGGCTGGCTGCGGTCTCTCCCGCCGCTCTCATTGTACTCCTGCCACCCTCCTTTCTCTTGACCCCCTCTTTCAGAGAAGCGGTTGCAGTAATTTTCCTGAAGCCTGAGGCAGAGGCAGGGATGGCTATTTGCGCTATGCTTTGAAATCCGCCTACACCTCGAAGGGTGTCGCCTTTAACCATGTGTGACATGGTATGGCTTAGACTCAAATACGGTCGGTGTTTATCTGCTTAGTATTAGCTGTAAGCAAAGCAGGTGGTCAATGGCACCAAAGGTATTCCTAAGAGTGGACTGCTACCAAAGAATGTAATAGGGACAGTCCTGTCACCACTCACCTGTCATTCTCCATCTCCGGCGGTAACAATGTTAACATCCTTTAGTGCTGGTCGAGCCCTGGAGGAACTCCCCCCCCCCCCTTTGAAAATGCTCCATAAATGTTATTGAAGTGGTCTGCGCACACCTGCACAGCATGCCTACAGGGAAACCCACCTGAGTGTTGCCCACCCCCCCCAAGGAATTCACCTGTCAGCTCCAGGCGCCCCCCCCCTCCCCACCTCCCCTCCGGAGAAGCACCCTGAAATGACTTGGGCCCCGGATCCAGGTGGGGTTCTGTTACGCAGAAGAACCACAAAGAGGACAAAGACACAGACCACGTTACAGCTAACAGACAGTTAAAATCCCAAGAAAAAAAAGCTACTAGAAGCAAGGAGACTTTGAAGCCCACGGTGGGAGGAATTATTATGGGCTGTTAATCATTATGTAGGATAACCCACTTCCCACTTGGTTGAACTGGTGCTCAGCAGTGCGTAAAGACAGCGCACAGTAATAATAACACCTTTGGGTTTTAAAGCGTTCGTCCCGTTGCTGGTGGAGTCTTTGAACGACATGTGTACGCGCATCTTGCTGCAATAAACATCCAACTACGTTTAAAAAAAAATGTTTGGGTAAAGACAGCCTTAGAAAGCACAGCTGAAAAAATTCGATGGTGAGGTCAGGAGGCTCTAATAGACTCTGTGGTACATTAATAACGGAGGTGGGGGGAGCAGAAGGATGCAGAAGCTTATACTTCAAAGGAACGTTCCGGAGCCTCTTTGTAAAACACCCCTTGTGTTTTGCATTGATAAACTTTAAAGCGAGAGCAAGCACAAACGGGATGCAATTTGCATCGTACGGGAAAATACGTCTCCATGCCGACGCTGACGCTAGACCGCGGTTGTTGGAAGTCCTGATGCAAATTACCCGGAGACAAAGATTTTTGATGTGTGTAGACCCGGCCCAACTGTTGGAGGTCTTTATCTTGCTTATATTGAAGTTATATACTGTATACTTTGGCTTTGTAACAGACTCTCTGCTTTAGCGGGAGCTGATGACCGAGCCGCATAGCCTTCCCACTCGAAAATCTCTGTCTATTAGCAGATTAGCAGTTTTCACTTGGCTGCCGTTCTGATCATGTTGACAGAGCTCTGCACGTGTGCGCTAAGCAGATCCCAGTAGGGTCACACGACGTCTGGATCCCTCCCAGGGCGTAACCTCGTTTGCAGGAAGGTGCCGTGCCGTTTCCCGCTCATCTGACGTCATAAGGGGGACCATCACTCTGTGGTGTTTATCCGTCCACCGTTCCCGCCTTCTTTAATACGCAGTGCCTGGAAACTTTGGCTGCTTTAAGGACAACGGGGACCCGCCCACCCTGACGGGCAGCACCGAGACCTCCAACAGGCTGACCATCCCTGGCTGCATCAGCTACTGTAGGGCACAGAGGTACAAGGTAATGTCACCTCAGGACCCTGGCACAGCTTTTTTTACATTTACATTATGTTCTATGAACATAAAAATGAAAAGCCAACTTTGTGGTTACATACGCATCAAGTGACTCGATATCAGCACTAAAATACAGATATTGTACCATTTCACAGGACAGTGTAATATATTGTGCTGTACTCTGCTAAAGCTGCACATTCATGCATAATGGATAATGTGGGCGGGGACCGATAAACTGACAAAAAGAAAATATTGTTTTGGGAAGAAGTGAAACTAAAATCAAGCTTGTGACATGGGAGAAGGGGGGGGGGGATCAAAAGACTTTATAGGGAACCAGGGGCAGTTAGCAGTAAGCAATCTGCGGAACTTGCGTCACCTGACACCTGCCGCTTTTGTGTGGTCTGCAGCTGGCTGGCATGGAGGCCGGATATGCCTGTTTCTGTGGCGACCACCTCGACTACAGCCTCCACGAGGAGATGCCCAGCACCGAGTGCAACCACGTGTGCTTCGGAGACCACACCCAGCCGTGTGGGGGGGACGGCCGCATCCTCATCTTCGACAGTGAGTGCATGGTGCCCACCCCGCCAAAAGCCCACCGACCCCAGCCAACCATTTGCAGCCCCAGCCCAGACCCCGTTTTTACATCTCGGAGTAGGTATTGTGTCTGGAGATCTCATGGGAATTTTACTCTCCAAAAGTCTTCTGAGGGCAGAACGAAAAATGATTGGTTCAGACACCAAACCAATCAGATTATAGAGGAGGCAGGACCAACCAATCAGATGTCTTGGGCAAGCCTCCTCTAGTTGCTTGGACCTACCTCCTCTGTAAACTGATTGGTTATCACTATGAACCAATCGTTTTTCATTCTGCCCACGGAACATTTTTGTAAAACTCCCATGAGCATCTGGAGACGCAGCTACATTAGTATTGGTGATGTATCCTTTGCCTTGCAGCACGTGTAGGTTCCTGTGGCGGGAACTACACCTCCCCATCAGCGGTTCTGTACTCTCCGGACTTCCCTGACCACTACCAGCCAGGTCGTGCCTGCTACTGGACCATCCAGGTGCCAGGAGCAGAGGCCATCCTCTTTGACTTTGCCCTCTTCGATGTCGCGGACCGGACGGACATGGTTGAGATGCTGGATGGCTACACCAACCAAGTGGTGGCCCGCTTTGACGCCGGAAACCCACCGAGGGACACCACCAACATCAGCGCCGACTTTGTCATTCTTTACTTCTACTCGGACAGAGCTGAGCAGGCCCGAGGCTTTGCTGTGCAGTACCAAGGTGAGACAGCTTGCTTTGGTTACACACAAGTGGACTGTGGCACAAATTAAGAACAGCATCACAAACATATGACATTCTTAAAAGACTAGAAAAGAGTTAGAAAGTAGTATCAGAGGAGATATTAACTCCTAACAGCAGTTATATGGGGAGGGGGTGAACTCTGGGGGCCATCTGGTTGCCAACTCCCTCCCAGGCAATAACCTTAAACAGAAAAGTAGTGATGTGAGGGACTCACATGGTGGATGGGAATTCCACGTGCTGTCAAATCATTGGCTGGTTTAACCCAACGAGAACCAGGAAAGCGTCCAATGAGAGTCATGGAAAGAAATCCCACCACTACACAACAGCTATCAGCCACAAGTCCTTACTGAGAAGAGTTCAAGCATGTGGAGAACATCCCTGCAGCACTAGAACAGACCCACCATGCAAAGGAACCCAATCATATCCCTCAGGTCCCCGTTGTGGCCCATTAGTTATGCCCAGCCTCGCTCCATGGCCCCCTGTGCGTCTTCACTGTGCCCGGGCCTCCCTGCAGATGTGAGCCTGCCACCAGCAAATGCTTTGCAGACATCTAAAAGAAAATCCCTCCCTTCTCAAGCCTCACTCCTTATAAACAACATCTGTGCTTTGGCAGATCCAAGAAGTGCATGTTACAGTCTGAAATGATAAAGGAGTCTGAGGAAAACAGCCCAATGTCTCTCAGAAATGCTAGCGGGAGACAGTCCGTCCCCAGCCTGCTGCACAGAAGGGTGAAAAGAGTGCTCCCCAGGATGGGTAGACACTCCTCCTTTTTACGTTTGTCATCTTCACCATCCCTTTGCTCTGTACCCGTGTGTGTGTGTGTGTGTGTGTGTGTTAGCGCTGCCAAGACCAGGACACGGTCCGCTGGATCATGAGGAGGAGGAGGAGGAGGAAGAGGAGGACACTAGCGCAGCCGACCCGGAGCAGGAGTCTGAGAGCACCACAGAGCGCTCCAACGCTAGCCTGAGCGGCCGCTCCAACCAGGTGGTCTACGTCATCACCTCCACGCCGGGCGAGGTGGACCGCAACATCCCAGGTGCCTGCTCACAGTTCCATGCCCCCTGACAAAGCCATGCAGATTTTAAGCAGTTGCCTCCTTTGAAAAACATCTTTAAGATGCTCACCCTCCCCCCCCGACTTTGGGTTAGTGCAACGCTCTTCAAATCTGGACCTCAATCCCAAATCCAGGCCTTGTTTTCAGTTCTCCCACGTAATTAGTTTAATAATTACCAATTCTGATTGGCCGCAGAGGTTTCACACCTGACTGACAGGTAAAGGAAGGCTGGAGAATCAGTGCTGCCCCTGATTTGAATAGCCCTGGGTTAGTGTTTGCTAAAATTGCAGTTATAGTTTGGTACATGTTCTGTTTCTAAAATGAAGATGTTTGCAGGGTAAACAGTACAGGGTGGCAGTTTGTCTCTCTCTCACCCTTTCGTCATCTCTATCACCTGCTTTAATGTCTCCTGCTTCCTCTCAATAATTGTAATCATCATCTTCACCTTCATCTCGTCCTATCACAGCGTGGACCATGTATGCCATGGCAGCGCTCCTGACCCTGGTCGTCATAGCGACGGTGGCGAAATTCTTGCTGCACATGGCCGAGAGGTGAGATTACTTCCGCCCCCGATGGCCGTCAGCCCGCGTAGACGGGACCGCAAGCGGCGCAGTCTCTCTGAGTCTGGAGCCGCTTGCCATACTCTCGTTTCTCTCCGTAGGTCCTCATCCTACCCCGACCTTGCCGTAGCAGAGACCTGTGCTCAGAACACAGCCAGCGACCCCTGGGTCATCCTGTACCGACCATCCACCATCTCTCTCTTCAAGAAGAAGCTAAAGAGTCACCAGAGTGACCTCAGCCCCCTGGTGAAACACTAACAGCCCTGCAAAGGACCTGCCTCCTGTTGGCCTTTTGGGGGTGGGGTTTATACCAGAGGAAAACAATGCAGCATCGCACAAAGCACTTATGGACCAATCAGATGTGGGAGGGGAGGGGCCAGGGCTCTCCTTGGCCCGGCACTGCTTCTGCACCGGCCACTCCATCCCCGCCTCTTAAGCTGCTTACCCTCCTATGAATATGGCCAGTGGCCGGGTCCATTGGTTAGGAGACGCCATTACAGGAGGAGAACGAGGCTCGTCTTCACAGTCCCCATCGGGACAGAAAGCGCAGCGCCAGCTGCATCTATGGGTGACTGCAAGCGACGCCCCTTCACCTCTGCACTCAAGCCTTGCTGTCGCGCCTAGTTCTGCAGGAGGACCTTCCCGAGCCACCGCTGGGGCATAAATGAGCGCTGAGCAAGGGCCCAGCTTCCAGGAGGAATTCCATCATCATATCACATTAACTGTAGTATGAATCCACTTCACACAGCACTTCTGTAACTAATAAATTGAGCATATGGGCCAAAGAAACATATAGGTGAGTCAAATGGCACATTTCAAACTCTGCCAGCCCAAAATCTGAACCCGGGAACTTCAGTACATTAGTACCGACTTCCAACTAATCCAGCCACCCAGCTATTGGACTGACAGTCCTATACCAATCACATGTATATACCAGCAAAGCCTCATGGGAAATGGGGGGGCGGGGTCACATGAAATGGTAAGATGTTATACATTTTAACACAGAATGGTATATTGTTCAAGCAGGGCGGCTGGCAGACGATCAGGATCAGAGGCGCGGCTGCAACAGCAGGGATTTAAACAGTACGTGAATTTTGACGCTGCACTGGCCTGCCATGGAAATGCCGACGGGG